TTATAAATTTTATGAATTAGCCAATTAAAATAAATTTATGAATTAGCCAATCGAAATAAATTTATGATTCAAATCATTAATTTATTTTGATTGGTTTAAAAATCCTGGCACTCAATAATGAGCCGATGAATGATATATATTAATATGCGGCACAAATATCATTACGCAATCCCATGCATTAGTATTAGTATTAGTATTTAAAGACGTCTTCATTTTTTTGTCCTTTCGTTTTATTATTATATTTAAAAGACACATCCGTTAATTAATCCAACACATTCATCAGTGAAAAATCATTTAATTTAAATTCATATTCAAACAATCATTTCTTCGCCTCTTCTTTTTCTAAAGCTGACGGCTGAAACCTAGAGGTGGTGTTGCAATGTTTTTGGCTCAAGCAGACAAGCCATTAGATAAATGCATAACGGTATTCATTTGGAATCACCGGATCTCAAAGGAGATATTAATATTAACGTGATTAATACATATTAATTATTAACAGACAATAAAATAATAGATGATAGTAGACCATTTCAAAACTTATTATTTTAATATATACTGTATATAGCTCTTTGTTATATATTATTTAATATTAATTTTTTTCTGTATATCTTCTTAATCTGTGGTTTAAATATATAATAATAATAATAATAACAGATATATACAAATACAAAGAAAACTATATTATTTCCAACTCACCAATCACACAATGACACTAGTATATAAGTATATTAAAATTAATATATATACAAGCAGTGACAAAATTAATTCGCTTGAGCAATCAAAGGATCATTTTCTAAAAAAATTTCAAACCCCCCTCTGAACAATAAATAAACTGCATAATAATAATAATAATAATAATAATAATAATAAGTATCTGTGTCTGTCGGTTTTTTTAAATATCGGAAAAAGAAATTATTATTATTATTATTATTATTATTATTATTATTGTCTATATATAATATACTATAATACCAGCCCAAAATTTTTAACCCGTCAATTTAAACCGCATCATCTACATTGACTCGTTGTTTTGCAGAGTGTGAGTGGAAAAATAAAGAGTTTGATTAATTCCTTATTTCTTAATAATAATCATTAAACCTAGTGATAATAATACATCAAAAACTATTTATGAAATTCATGAGGATGTAA